AAAAAAAAAAAAAAAAAAAAAAGAGAGAAACTCTGATGTGGAGTATGACTCACCTGAATTGTTGCGTAGTGCTTTGACAGCATCAAAATTTTTGTAAGTATAGCCAACGAAGCTTAAATCTTTGGGTGTCAATGATATCTACAAACCACAAAACAAAGGTTCGATGCATTTCTAAGAATTTTGAGGCAAGATACATTACTTGGACTTTAATTTGCGCATAAAATATAAAAAGGGAAGCGAAGATGTTAGAACCAAGGAAAATAGGGAAGTTGAGACAGAAGCTTCAAGATTTACTAAAAATAAAGCTAATGGAAACTTGAGATACCCATCCACATTAGCACCTACGTCTTGTCTGCTTGATATTTTTAGAGAACCATAAAATATTGTGTCGAAAAGAATGGATATTTTTAGACACATAAAACTTCAAACTTCGAAAAGTATTTTCTCATGCATCTGTAATAGCCTATATGTCCCAAAAGGAACATGATGTGCCCGGCCCCTTTTCCGTAGATCATATTAGGAAGAAACAGCTTTCTTTCGTTAACATTCAGTGAAGATGCATAGGTTCTCTTTTTTTTTTTTTTTATAACATTCAGTGAAGATGCATAGGTTCTTTGAGTGTCTGCTATTGAAAACCAAATCTAGGGATGGGACCGATCCCGAAAGAGAGGCCTTTCTTCATGGTTACGAAATTACATTGATCAAAAAGCAAGTTGATGATGCCATAAGTCAAACACACTTTTAATTGGATTATTACAAATTGACATTTAGAAATCATAGTAAATGACCACATCATACTATTGATTCATACAAATTTAGGAGAAGAACGATCAAAGCAGATGAAAAAAAACCACACTACCAATTCATATTAACTGAAACACAGGGATGTCCAAATACATAGGTTTCATCTGACTGTGTATTACATAATGTGTATTGTTTTTATTATGTGTTGATTCACAATTCCTACTACAAAAGTCTAAAGTGAGGTTATGGGATACAGCTTGTATACCTACAGAATAATTTTAGACGGTATTCTTTTAATTTAACAAGGAACATAGATACAGTTTTTAAGCAAATTTGAAAACCCTCCCTTCGTCCCTCTTTTGCTCTTTGCTGTGCTAGTTAAGTTCAGTCGTAGTGTTAAGAAGCGGTTACATAAACTTTGATAGCACCAAAATCTTACCATATTTGAAAGGTATTGCAATAGATAACGATGAGAATTAATGCTTACATACCTTCCGAGAAGGACCTGAACCAGATCTTGCCGGTGTTGGAGAATCCATCTAATGAAAAAGCCAGAATGCAAGTTATAAAGAAAAGCACACTCATGAAGTATTGGATAAAAGAAAAAAAAAAGGAAAAGTATGTATGCATCAAATTATGTCTACCATCTCATTTAAATATTTAAACTAATTAGAAGAGAAAATTTCTATGTACTTCATTATGTCATTAATACGCCTACTTACATGCGAGTCAGATTCCTTTTTGTGAGCCAAGAACATGAAATTTTTTTACTAGTGGTAAGATTCCAACTTAAGACCTTTGTCTGTTATGCTAACATATCGAATAGTTTGCATCATTCCTTCTAAACGCTCAAGAAGCTAGAGGGACATTTGTTATATCTTTAACAATACAAAGAAGAATGGCATGTTGACTTAGTAGAATTTCATATGTTTTTAACAATATGAAGAAGAATAGCATGTGTGACTTACTATAATTCCATCATATCATTGCAGAAGGCACAAAATGTAACACATCTTCTCATTAAGAGGATTAAGAAGAGTGAGATTGACGACAAGAAGGTTGAAAATGACAAACCCACAATTAAAGGTACCAAGAGTTGTTTTTCTAGTATGTCCAGAACTATACACCACCAAGCCCACTATATGTGGCTAACATAAACCAGAGAATGAGATAAAGGACAAACTCAACTTACATACTACATCAAGCTTAATAAATTTGGAGTATTTTTTATAAATGTAAAATTTTACTGATATAAAAAAGGAAACTCTGATATGAATGGGATACAAAAGTAGAGAATTAAGAAAAACAGTATGATTCTCTACGAAGGAGTATCCAAACACCTATGCTAACCGGGATATCAAAGGTACTCCAAATAATCTTAAAATTTGAGCATATAACTAGTTTAATGAGAAAATCATCAGACTATTGTCCAAATGGATAACAAAACCACAGAACGGGGTAGATATATTGAAAAACAGCTGTAAGTAGAAATCAGAAAGAGAAAGTGAAGTTCATAGAAAACAACTGTTCAAGAACTGTTAGTTAATAGACAAATGGACGAACAGGAAGGATTCCTGCTGCATCTTTTTCTTATTCTCTTTTTACTAAAAATTCTCTGCCACTGCTTTCCTCGTAGATTCTGAGGAAGATAGTGAACAGAGAAGGTTGTAGTTTGTTTATCAGTTAATGCAGATAGTGGGAAACTTATAATATCATACGATTTCTTATCAATTGGATAATTAGAGAGCAACTGTACAAGAGATCCAAAAGGATAAAAAGAATGATAATTATGTGCCATTTTGGTACTTATCCAAACAAAATGTGCGCCATTGGTTATGTAAGAGAAGATTTTTGTACACAACCTCATCAAACTTCATAAAATTCTGAGTATCCAGCTCCCCATTAACTTCTGGTTTGAAAGCTGCCTCCATTTCATAAAGCTTATCCCACAAAATATCCTTGAACCAAGGATGAGCCTGAGAGAAGGCCACTTGGAATAAGTTTTACCAGAAGAAACAGAAAATATGTGATGAAACAATTGAATGTAATTGATTGAGATAGTACCTTAATTTGGTTTGCACCTCCTCCAGTGCCAAGTCTATGTTCAACATCACATAGCAACCTGCAAATGAGATCCTTTGCCTCCGCTGACAATTTGGCATCTTCGGGAAATTTAAGCTGATTTCTCCAATGGACAATCTGGAACCATAAAACACAGAGTCGAGATATGATAAGATTAAAAGATGTAGGCCGCAGAGAGGTATATAGAAGGTGTTTGGATAAGCTTACAAGCTGGTTTGGCTTGGCCATTGTTTGGTAAACACCAAAAGTACTTATAAGCCAAGATCAGCCAAAAGCTATAAGTTTTTCAACCCTAACTTAAAAATTTTTAGCTTATAAGCACTTCTTGTTGAACCAGATTTTCCTATTTTGTCCTTTTTTTTTTTTTGTAATTTCCAGAATACCCATCCCAAAATAAAACCCCTAGATCCCTCCATTAATTTCTGCCATTTGTCCTTCTCCCTACTTACAAACTTTAGTCAAATTATTATTAGGGCAAAAGCTTTAAGACATTTCAGTCATTTTAACATTTTTCCCCAAACATTTTTTTTAACTGGTAAATAAGTACATTAGTGATATAAAAAACACAAAGAAAATACTCTGTAAAAAAAAGGCTCCTATCTATACAGAAATTGATTCCTGTAGTGAATTGATGAAATCTAACATACTATTTTCATCCTTTACATCCTGTGTTGCACCAATAAGCGAAAACCAGAGACACTTTTATTTTAACATTTGTACAGAGACAGCTTTCCCTTCAAAACACCTAGTATTTTTTCCCCGAATAGATTAAAAACTTACTATCAGTTTCATCACTCTATCCTAACACGTCATTGCTTCTTATTAATATCAGTTCAGCATTAAAAGTTTTCTTCAAAGCGGGCTCATAGTCATGGCTAATAGCTGGTGATCATGTAAAAAGAAAGGCAATAGTTACACTACACTGAGTTCCATACATTGATGGCATGTCATCAACATTCCTTTCTCGCACTAAACACTGGTTTGTAGTACTGGAAACATATCAATGTGAACACTATACTTCTATTCCGCTTTTAAAGCACAAATAGATAAGTTAAACTCACCGGGGCCACATTAAACAATCAGTGACTTTCAGTACTAGGCACAAAGGTCGGATCAGGTGTTCAACTAGTCTCCAGTAATGTATTAAACATAAATTAGGTTATCAATTGGACAAAATCCTGTACTAGGTGGTAACTTGTACTTCTCAACCTTTTTATTTTCCTCTTTTCATTGATTTTAACTGTGAAAGTAGAGGGTGGCCGATCTGCTTGCACAGCACCGCTGAAATACTCTAATCAAAATGAAAACACAAAAATACACAAGAGGAAGACAGAAAAGCAGGAAATATGCTACCTTCCTGCAAGTAGTTATTGGATCATCAGAGTAGAACGGAGGGTAACCAATGAGCATTTCATACATAATTGCACCAAGGGACCACCTGCATGTTGTAAGGCAGATAAAATGAGAAATGGATGCAGACAATCCTCCCACGATTGCACTTGTGGAATTATCAACTCTAGCAATTATCAATAATTTTCCCCACGTTTCACCAACTTTCACAGGCTCTCTACATTAGTATTTTGGATGCTTTTGGAAAAGATTTATGCATACTAGACATTTATTAGCAGAGAAACCAAGAATCTTAGTAATTTCAAAGAACATTACTGGCTATATATAATTAAAAAACTAACCAGTCACACTCCATTCCATATCCTTTCTTCAACAGTACCTCCGGAGCAATATAGTCAGGCGTACCCACTGTTGAAAAGGCCTTTTGACAGAAGAAAAACAGAATCAGAAAATTAGTGTCAAGACTTACATGTGAAACAACATAGATCAAAGGTTAAGTATCTATAAAAGTGCAAGTACAGATTCTATCCGACAGTCAGACCGCCATTTGCAATGAAGTGAAAATTCTTCAATTCACTCTCACACGGGCCATAATAACCTCTAGTTCCTGTGGTAATTCTTCTTTATGTATGTGCATGTGTTTGGGAATGTGATCTCTTAAGCTCATAAAAGAAAAACCTTTAACAATAATACTCTAACAAGTTACATTACGAGCTGAGCTTCCAGCAAACAGCAGCTTTTCATACAGCACATTGTTATTAATCACCTTTAAATGTCAGATTGTACTTAATGAAAAATGGAATAACAAACAGTAAATCCAAATGGGATGCTGATGGACGTATTTCCATTGGAAGTACTGTCTACCAAATCTTAAGAGGTTAAAACATAAACCTCTCATGTTTAAATAAAATAAGGCGCTCCTCACGTCCAATTGTTTTCCATGGTTTGACTTAATGGGGAAGCTGTCATATTTTAGAGAAATCATTGATTTCTTTACATTATAAACATTGTTGTCTTACATAGTACAGCATTTTGGGATTAGTCTCAACTCCCATTAGAAACCTAAATTGCATCAGACATGTTGGATTTGACAAACAAGTCAAACAGTCCCATATAAGTTGTGCAAGAGACACATCATTGAACTGGAAGTAGGAAAATATAATTAATCTAAGCAGAGAACCTTCATGATTTCAGAAAGTCCTAGCCTTTAATTCCAATTATGTTTTCCTCCTTTAATAACAGAATAACTGCAAAATTTAACGACTCCCACAAAATCCAAAGAAACAGAATGCATTTTTATAAATATCATACCAATTTCCTCCTGTTCATCTGCCAATGCTGAATCTGCTCACGAGGGCTTCTCCAGTTACTTCCATCATTGGCATCTGGGAAGCTGCTATCAATGTCCATCGGGTCCCTGATATTCTCATCATCCATAGCTTCATTTTCATTTAATGTAGATAGCGTTCTACAATCAAGAGGCTTACAGAGACCAAAATCAGAGAGCTTCATGTGACCCTTTTTGTCCAGAAGAAGGTTGTCAGGTTTGATATCTCTGGATGAAGAAAATGGGCAAATATGAGGAAGAGACAATTAGTTAGCTATAAAGTTTGTACCTCAAGAGAAAACTGTTACAGTCACAATATGCTGTAGTCCTAAATAAATTTCAAAGCAAATAATCTTTACAAGTCAAAAGTAAATGATGCACCTGTGAATGTAATTATGCTTGTGAATAGATTCTATGGCTAGGACACTTTGAGCAATATAAAATTTAGCCACACTTTCTGACAATGTGTCTTCTCTCATCAGCAGTGTCATCATGTCACCACCAGGAAGATATTCCATGACAAGGTAAAGATACTCAGCATCTTGGAATGAGTAGTATAATTTCACAATACAATGGCTGGCCACTTCTGCCAGCAGGTTCCTTTCTGCTCTAACATGCTCCACCTGCAACAATGCAATTTGTCAACATGGACAATAGGACAGCAACAACAACAACAAACTCAGTGTAAACCCACAAGTGGGGTATGAGGAGGGTTGAAAAGAAATACACAGCATTGTTAAATAGAAATACAGTTCACAGTAAATGGACAAGCCACGGAAAATAAGCAATAACAAGAAGCAGTAACCACAGCAAGATAATAAGATAACCGGAGCAAAAGAAACACCCGGTAGTAGTAGAAATCCAAGTATAAGAAAGTACGAGATAATATTGATACTACAGGTATGAAAAAGATATACGTTCAACTACTTACTATCCTTCTACCCCTAGTTCTCGACCTCCACACCCTCTTATCAACGGTCATGTCTTCGGTAAACTGCAGATGTGGCATGCCCTGCTTTATCAACTCTTTCCAATACTTCTTTGGCCTACCTCTACCTCTCCTCCGACCCACCATGGCCAACATCTCACACCTTCTCACTTGGGCATCTCCTCTTCACATGCCCGAACCATCTTAGTCTCGCTTTCCACATCTTGTCCATCTTATCAACATGGATAATGTCAACTACAATAAATTTAAGCATATCATGATGATGCAAGCCGCACATGGACAAGTGATCCCCCCACCCCCAAAAAGAAAATCACGCCATATTATTGAGAAAGGATAGGATTTCAGCTTCAACTATAGACAAAGAGGATCTCCTTACTGATATACTAGTAATAAATATCCAACCTTGATATGACGCTTGATCATTTGCATTTATTGAAGGAAACAATGTCCATCTTATAAGCATAGACCTCTCACTCTCGAGGAAAGGGGGTAGGAGAAGGGTCAACTTGATTATGTTTCAAAAGAAAGCTTTTTGATGAAATATGTGACCATCATATCTAAAAACTTAAGTTGTTAGAGAGTTCACATTCTTTTTATTAGTAGAGAGATCAATTGTTTTTAATACGCCAATTCACGAGCGAGGCGCCTCATTCTTTTTCATAGGCCAAGCACGTTGAAATTCTTTTTGATAATGGGTGGCGGAGAGACTCAATCTTTGGACCTCTATCTGCTATTTCATGTTTTGAAATGTGTGTCTCATGTGAAAGCTTAAGCTATTTAAAAGCACATTTTTATCTACATAATTATGTCTCAGCACTTTTAATCTATGAATATGTGGGAAAGAACAGAGGGCCCTAATAACATTCCCAAAACCACATGCAGAACGTATGCTATAAAATTCTCCAACATATCCCATGATATGGCTAACTTCCAAAGATGAAGAGAATGAAGAAGAGATTAAAGCTTGTTATTTACAGAATATTCAAAACAAAATCTATCAAGATCAATGTTATCAAAGGCGCGCTTAAAGAGCGCTTAAGCCCTGAAGCGAGGCTCAAAACATACTAAGCGCTTCGCCTCGCTTAGCGGGCGCTTCAACGTTGTCATCAAAGCTCTAAGGCATACGTTTCCTTGCCAATGAGCGTAATCCTGAAGAGGCCACATTAAATAACCGATATTTCACTTTATTGTAAATTTTCTTTAATTTCTTAGTCCATATATTTGGTATTCATGCTTATAAATATTAGTTTTGGACCACACATACATATTTGTAGTTTTTCTCCATTTGCGTTTTTCTTCATTTAAGCCCAGGCTTTATTGTGCTTAAAGCCCCAACATAGCTTAAAACTTTTTTTGCGCTTTTCGCCTTTGATAACACCGATCAAGATGCGAGAAACAAAGCAAGATAACAAGAAAAAACTCTACAAAGAAGAGCCATTCATTATAGGAAGAGCTGAGTGGGGGAATGATAATATTTTAACATGCAAACAAAAATGTCACTTTTAAGCTCTGACTTGGGAATTGTGCCTGCGCCATTTTTAATTATGTAATTCTCTCTCCGACGAGGCCTTTTCTGGCTAAGGTGTCATTTTATTATGGGTGATAGACTAATCTTTATTTCAGGTGACAAATCTTTTGAGTTAACAAACATTAGCTATGATCGGAGTAGATGGTTCTCCATTACGGAACGAGGCAGACGATTTACGAGCAGTATCAAGATCGACGAAAGTAACTTCCAGTGGTTCTGTTCAGTGCTTCATCTAGCATCTAGGGGAACAAAGGATTTATACAGAAGACGGGGAAGGAAACGACAATCAAATCTTTATAGGGTCCACCAAAACTACAATGTATATGGTCGATTCTTGAGGGTGGAAGCTTGGCTAGGGTACCGGAAAAAAGCCATCATCATTCCAGAATCAGAATTTGACTATGGTTGGGTAGAAATAGCAGACAGAATACTTCGTCATCTGGTAAATTGAAACCATTTCGCACCTCCAACGCTATTACTAAAAACTTATTCTGCAGCTGCAACTATTCCAAGCTGGCCAGTAAAGGCAGCACCAGCTCCTCTTGTGCATGAAAGCGATCATCCTATTTCTTGATGTCTAATTGGAAGGTTCTCGAGGTGTTCCCGCAGGTCTGATTGGACCAACATGATGTAAATGTTCACTCTATAAAATAGGAGAAAATGAAAAGATATGTGAAACTCTCACCATCACTCAATTTTTTTTTTTGATAAGGTAAATTGTATTAATCAAAAGGGATAGAACTCCCGTGTACAAGAAGTATACAAAAAAGTAGAGAATTTACAACAGAACATGATTCTTTACAAGAGGAGCCCAATCTTCCATACACGTAGGTGCTATACGGGTGCACCAGAATGCGATTAAAGATAAAAGACTATTCCTAAGGTGAGAAAAACTAGACTCAATCCCTTCAAAAGCTCTTCTATTTCTCTCCCCCCAAACTATCCACATGAGAGCTAAAGGGGCGAACTTCCACGCCTTTTGCTTTCTTCTTCGACGGGAACCGGCCCAGCTGTATAGCATTTCCTTAACAGTGCTAGGCATGACCCATTGAACTCCAAAGAAGCACAAGATTGTTCTCCATAGGCCCGCTGCAACAGGGCAATGCTGTAACAGGTGATCAACTTCTTCCCTGAAATTTTACACTATGTAGCACCAACTAACAACTGTAATTCCTCTCTTCCGCAAATTTTCAGCAGTCAAGATCATTCCTCACGCTGCTAGTCATGCAAAGAAACACACCTTCGTGGGCATTTTAGGAATCCAGATTGATGAGCATGGAAAAGTGGCCTCATCTCTCACCAGCATGCTCTGGTAATAAGACTTTACGGTGAACAGACCATCTCCACGCAGCCCCCATCTCCAAGAGTCGGTAGAAGTGTATGTCCTATGTTGGCCATATAGCAGTGCCAACAAATCTTGGAGTTCTGCAATCTCTCAATCTTGCATGTTCCTTCTAAATGAGAGGTCCCATACTATGCCCCCTTCATGCTCCTTGCGAATCTGTTGGACCAACAATTCCTTCTGGTTCGAAACTCTGTAGACGTTGGGGAAAGAGACCTTCAGAGTATCCTCTCCACACCACATATGATTCCAAAAGTTGATTCTCCTTCCATCTTCCACCCTATAAGTGATGTTTTCATTAAAGTCTTCCCAATTCTTCATGATGCTTCGCCACATGCCACACCCAAAAGGTGATGTGATTACCTTATTCCTCCAGCCCCCTCTCGCGGAATCGTACTTTTCTACTATGACCTCCCTCCATAAAGCATGATCTTCTATACCGAATCTCCACAGCCACTTCCCTAACAAAGCTGTATTGAATACCCTAAGATCTTTTACTCCTA